TTTTCACTTTGATTGTACACGCAGGCAAGATATTAATCGATCATCATCATCATCATCAACAGCTCTAAATCCGCTACTGGATATGAGCTACTACGGATCCAGTAAATATTTCTTTCTGTATAAAACTAAGCATTCGCAACTGATCACCAACCGCAGTGGCGGTGTAAGAATATCCACTACCCGATATCGTCCCGTGGGTGTCGTGATAGGCAACAGAGGGAAACAAATCAGGTGACAGGCAGCAGCATCTCCCTGTTAACAACTCAAACTATGGCAAAATCCCTCCTATAAGACAATCCATGGGGAAGGCCTATGTTCTTTTTTATAGGATAGGCTGACAAACGAGAACACAGTGCACCAGGTGGTAAGTGGTTGCTGTTGCCCATAGACATCTACATCTATCCTCGTTTGCGAATCAACATGCAGATGCGTTGTCACCCGTGAGGACTAAGATGGAATGCCTCTTTTCCAGTAAAACGAGTCTCCAGTTCTCTACACAGCAGTGTTAAGCTGCTATTTTACGCTGGTATTCTGTGAGAGCGTGGTCCTTACCCGGTCGAGCCGACCCATTCGTGCTACATCTATACTACTAATATAGCTGCAGTATGGCTCTACCACGTGTAAAAGCAGTGAACATTTATAGGCTGTCATGAGAATGGAATATTTCCACTGTTCCTGTCATATTAAAATCTTTTTAATTGAAAAGTCCTTGGTTTTAAAAATCGAATACCATTTATTTATTTAAAAAAAGATTCTCGGTCTTGTCACAAGGTTTTGTCAAACTTGTTTAGTCGTTGAGAAAATGGAATTGACTCGAGAAAATTCAAGAGCGATGATTTATTATGACTTTCGAAGTGGTTTAACGCAAAAACAATTTGTTGACCGGACGATTTCTGCATTTGGTGATGAAGCCCCATCCAAAACCACAATTTATCGCTGGTTTGCTGAGTTTCAACGTGGACGTGTCAAGCTCAGTGATGATCCCCGTCAAGGTCGTCCAAAACTGCAGTCACCCAAGAAAACGTTGATGCTGTGCGTAAGCTGATTGAGGAAGACCGACATGTGACATACCGTGAAATTCAGGCAACTTTAGACATTGGCATGAGTCAAATACAAATAATCTTGCATGAACAATTAGGTGTAAAAAAGTTGTTTTCCCGCTGGATAACGCGTTCGCTCTGTGAAGAGCAAAAAGCAGCTCGCGTTACTTGGTGCGTCAGAACTCTCGAAAGATTCCACGCAGGATCCTCAAATGCTGTATACAACATCGTATCAGGTGACGAATCCTGGATAAAACAAAAAACCAATCACGAGTTTGGGTGTTCGAAAATGAGTTAAAGCCAACAAAAATTGTTCGTTCACGGAGTGTTGCAAAAAAAATGGTGGCCACGTTTGTCTCCAAAACCGGCAATGTTACGATTATTCCTCTTGAGGGACAAAGAACGGTTAATGCAGAATGGTATGCTAGCATTTAATTGCGACAGGTCGTTTCTGAATTCTGTAAAGAGAACTGCTACCGCCGCATCATCCTCCATCACGACAATGCGAGTTCTCACACCGCACACAGAACAAAAAAGTTTTTAGAGCAAGAAAACATAGAATTATTAGACCATCCGCCGTACAGCCCCGACATAAGCCCTAATGATTTCTATACTTTCCTTAAAATAAAGAATAAATTGCGTGGACAGAGATTTTCATCACCTGAAGAAGCTGTGAACGCCTACAAAACGGCTATTTTGGAGACCCCAACTTCCGAATGGAATGGTTGCTTCAATGATTGGTTCCATCGTATGGAAAAATGTGTCAAATTTCGCGGAGAATACTTCGAAAAGCAATAAATACATTTTTAAATAGTAATGTTGTGTCACTTCCTTCATTCCCGAAATTTTTAGTGCCGCCCTCGTACCTACAACATTTTATTGCATTTGCTAAGTTATAATAATAATATACAATTAACTTACGTTGTTAAAAGAGCGCAAAATACTATAGTCTTAAACATGATACCAGATCTGGAATGTTCTTTTGTTACTGAAAGTTCAAACACTACGCAGACGTTTTCTCGACATTTGTACAGACTGACGGACTGATTGACAGGATACATTATATATGCAAACTCCATTATAGAAACACGGATTGGCCTCGTGAATAACTTAGTATATTCCTGTTTACGAAGATTACGAAATAAAACTGAACAGTGATAAAGAAAATAAAACACAATTTAACAAAAACATTTATTAAAAAATATATATAATTTTACCATAAATATACAATATATTTCCCATCACATTGTATGATAAAATATTAGGTTCTTTTTGCTCAAATATAGTAAAAAATTTGTATTGTCATCAATATAATATAAAAGCTTAAAATAAGTTACCCTAATATTTTCATCATCATCATTACAGCCCTTCACAAGTCCACTGCTGAACATAGGCCTCCCCCAAAGAATGCCACAAAGCACGGTCCTGAGCCACCTGCATCCATCGACTTCCTGCATATCTTACCAGGTCGTCACTCCATCTAGTGGGGGGACGCCCTACACTTCGCCTGCCGGTACGAGGCTGCCACTCGAGAACCTTTCTTCCCCATCCCACCCTAATATTTTACTTAGTTGGATATGTTTAATTTTACAAAGAATTACTTATTAAATACGTCATTACAGTACATTCATTTAAATCAGTTCACTGGTAACGATTTTAACGGGTCGTATTCCCAGATATACAATACATTAAAATATTAATCGTACGGATAGTGGCAAGGAAAATATTAAGACTTCAATTTAAAAAGTAAAAAAAAATACAATAACAAAGTTTTCATGACAGTCTCAGGATAGGGTTGCCAGCCGTACTATATAATTATTAGTATTGCACTATATTTTCAGTAGGTAGTAGCTGTTACAAAATATATAGTATGCAAAAATACTGTAATTTGAGCCTGATAAAATATATAATAAATGAACTATATTTTATTGCATATGCTGATAAATATGCAAAACACATTTTATTTTTCTTTTCGTAGAGTATTATATTTTCATGTTACGTACTATATATTTTAACGCTATCGTTCGTAAAATAATATATTTCTTCCAATAATAGTTGGCAACCCTAGTCTAACACCTACAAAGGCAGAACGTAGACATAACACTACGTACATTTCAAGTAACGCCAAACCATGGAATGGATTCGAACTCACGACCTTGGATTTCACTGTCCGCACCCTACCCTACCTAAAATATAAGCTACTATCGCTTATATTTAACACACGTCGTGTGTGTGCGCGTGAGTGTATACAAGTTGAGTTTTAAAAATCAAAAACTATAGATATTTATACTGGTGCATTAGTTGTGAGACCTTGACCTGCGCAATAGTCGATTATGAATCTTGTTGGTGAAGTACAAGGGCGCAGGCCACGGTCGTTAATTTTACAGTTACAGTTAATTCATGCGATTGTTCGTTAGTAAAGTCATACAATATTTTAAACAAAATAAATTGTCCACGCTATTCCGTCGCTCCGTGTTCACAATTCACGCCACTTTTTATATTTATTTATGAATATATAATTGGCAGCTCAGATGGTTAGCGCTCGCTGTAAGTTTCACAGTACGCGAGCAACCCGGGTTCGATCCCCACCGGCACCAATTAAACTGTTAATTGCAATTTTAAGTGCTTATTTACCACGTGTCCGGCGGTGAAGGAAAACATCGTGAGAAAACCGGCATGTCTGAGAAATAAGAAAAAAAATATTTCGAAGACAAGTGAAGTTCGCCAACACGCATTGGGGCAGTGCGGCGGGCATTTCCTTGCCCTAAAACCCTCACAGAAATGAGAGGCCTGTGCCCAGCAGTGGGACGTATATAGGCTGTAACTTTAACTTGTACATAATTTAATTACAAATGTTTGGGCAACATTATCAATAATACGCTCCCAGTAATGTATATATCTTTTAAATATATATTAAAAAAGAATACAATCGAATCGATAACCTCTTTTGTTTTAAAGTTACAACTATAGTTTTGTATAATTAAACCATTTTTATATTTCTTAGAATAATCTGTAAGTATTAATTAGTTGCTTACTCAGGCCAACAAAAAAAGAAAGCCAAGAACAGAGAGTACTCACGAACACATATGCATTTAAAGTCATTTTGCAATCGACAACGTGATTTTAGGTGCATATGTGTGCGTGAGTCAGTGTTCCTACAATTAGTTAAGTGTTATTTTGGTTTTAGTGTCACTTGAAATGTACGCAGTGCTGTCTTTCTGTGTTAGTCAATGACCTCTTATATAAATTATTTGGATAGTAAAATGTCATTTTATAAAAACGTTTTATTTCAAATGTTAATCTCTCCTGCAAACAGCTAATAAAGGCTTCCACAACATTTTCTACCATCAAGGCGGCGCCACTACGGAATGAGGTGAAATATTTGACAGATTTATTGGCGGAGAAGTTAAAAAATTATTAAAAACGTAAATATTAATGATTCTTTCTAAAATATTAGTTATAGATTATATAAGAAATAGATTTCAGATATAACTAAAAGTATAAGCATAATAGAGCATACCGATGAGGTATTTCGGTTTACCGTAAAAAAATTGATACGCAACTTTTCAATGATGTGGCACAGTGTGACAAATAACTTCACCTTAGTCCCAACTAGTGGCATCTGGTGTGCGAAACATTATTAGCCCTCACTGACCCACCAAAAACGCTAAACCCTATTCTGTAGACTGGCACCAGTGCGAGGACATCGACATCGTGCTCATCAACTCGCTTGCCCAGAGTGGTATCACGAAAACTTCAAGGAAATCAAACCTTTTTTTTAGAATAGACTTAACCTATATCCAGCACTGAATTTATAGAGACTGATAAACAAGAAACAGAACTGTGACGTAAAGATCAACTAAATAATATTAAACAGTATTATTGTCTATGTTTTTTTTTCACTGCAACCGTAAGGAATGTCTGTCGTTTAGAATATACATATATTTATTCTTAAACCACTTATAGTTTAGAACGCGCGTAGGTCTGCCAAAAGACGACGTCCCTCCACCACTCAGGTCGTGACATAGCACCGGGATATGTCATCACGTTGTTCTGTATGTGCTTATACACCTGGAAAGTTTTGTAACATGCTGTATTGTCTTGTAGCGTTTCTTAAGAAATCCAGCACCACATTTTGTCCTGTGATGTCGTACTGTCTCGTAAGTTTAGTGTTTGTAAAGCGGGACAGATGATCATAAGGTTCCGGGTTAGAATTCCCAGTCGGGCTTAAATCAGTTATTAAGTTTTTCTGTTGAGAAATTTCCAGTAGCAGTCCGGCGTTAGAAAGTTAGCAGTGTTACAGCCCCGTGCTTCGGAAAGCACATAAAGCCGTTGGTCTTGCGCCTCTCTCTGGCCGCGTCAGATTTCCATTCCATCGGACTATGAAAGTGAGGGAATAGAGAGTGCACCTGTGTTTACACATACACTCGTGCACTATAATACTATCCTGCGCATGCTAGTTTCCGTTGAGACTACCCGCTGTGACCGGAATTCGGTCTATAGTACAGAGCGTAAAGAGAATCACGCTACGGTATGGAAAATCAGAAAGACCTCGTAGCTCCCATTATAAATAGTATGTTTATGGAAGATAAAAAAAGAACAAAATACGCAGAGCGATAACGGTGCGTGGTGTTAAGGGCGGGAGACTTGTCAAGCGTGGGGCTTGCGGAGTCTTCTTACGTAATAATAGGAAGGATCATGATTATGGCCAAGTTCGACACAAGGGTCGGCTTATTTGGGGCAGGATCACGTACACACAACACTAGCGTGTAATAGCAGCAAATGCTGCTGTTTTGTATGGCGAGTTTCCCTCCATCTAAGTTCTCAAGGATGACAACAAACGTGTATTTTGATTTTTAAATGAGGGTAGATGTAGATGTTTATGGATCACAGTATATTAATTAACACCAGTCGCCCTTATTTCTGTAAAAATTGTATTTTTGAATGACGGCTCTGCGGTTTAGTGTTGAATTGAAGTGCTGAGGCTTGCTTATTCGAATCCCGCACTAAACAAGTTCTTTTTTTTATATAGGAGAGGGTGCAAACGAGCATGCGGCTCACCTGATGGTAAGTGACTACCGCCGCCCATGAACAGCTGCAACACCAGGGAGGGAATCGCAGATGCTTTGCCGGCCTTTTAAAAAGGAGTACGCTCTTTTCTTGAAGGTCCCTAAGTCGTATCGGTCCGGAAAAATCACTGATGGTAATCGATTCCACAAGGAAGTCGTGCGAGGAAGAAAACATCTTCTAAATCGCATAGTGGTGGACCGCCAATCATCCAGATGGTGAGGATGGTATCGGGAGCTCTGCCGCGATGTGCGTTCGTGAAATTTGGCGGCTGGGATTAATCCGAACAATTCCTCAGAGCACTCCCCGTGGTAGATGCGAAAGAAAATGCAAAGGGATGCAACATCTCTTCGCACTGCCAATGAATCGAGCCGATCGGAAAGGACTCGGTCGTCGACGATTCGAGCCGCTCTGCGCTGGATGCAGTCAAGTGGAAGGAGCTGGCACTGGGGAGCCCCTGCCCAGAGATGGGAACAGTATTCCATGTGAGGCCGAACCTGCGCCTTGTAAAGTTGCAGGCGGTGTGCCGGCTTGAAATACTGTCCCGCTCTGCTGAGCACGCCAAGCTTTTTAGAGGCCAATTTGGCTTTCTCTTCCAAGTGACCACGAAACTGCACGTCACTCGATTTGTCGACTCCGAGGATTCCGATACTGGCTGAAGCAAGAAGGGGAGTGCCTTGAAACTGATGAGATACGACAAAGGCGTTCTTTTTAGGGGTAAACGCGCAAAATTGTGTCTTCTGGGGATTAAACTGGACTAGATTTAGTCGCCCCCAATCCGAGACTTTGCTCAGCAAAGACTCGACTTCAGACACAAGTTTGTTCCGGTACTCGGCGACGTTTTCCCGAGAAATATTGGCACAGCCGGTGTATAGAGCATCACCAGTGCTGTCATCCGCATAGCAATGAATGTTACCAGTTAGCAACATATCATTGATATGCAGTAGAAACAGCGTTGGTGATAGCACACAGCCTTGTGGAATACCAGCGTTAATAGGCTTGTAGTCGGAGCATGCACCGTCTACAACGACCTTGATGCTTCGATCTGCAAGGAAGCTGGTGATAAAATCGCACAATTTCTCGGGAAGCCCATAGGAAGGGAGCTTCGTAAGAAGCGCTTTGTGCCAAACCCGATCGAAGGCCTTCTGGAAGGCCCGACTTCTGGATGTCCAGGGAGAGTAGTATTAGTATGGCCTACAAGTAGTTGTTTCGGGTGTTGAAGTTGGTCCATGCGCAATAATACATAATAGATAAAAAGATTATGTAAGTAAACTGTTTGCACGATACAAGGTAAATTCTTAGTGTGTGCAACGTTTTAAGAGAATACAAGAGAACTCTAAAAAAAAGATTTACTAGGTGGTAAGACACATTTTCTGCTTAGGTTTGTGCTTGTTCCTAGTATTTAGGATGACCATCACTATTTTCGATAAAACTAATTTTGATTTCGTATACATATTAAATATTGGTAAATATACTGTTAGTTTTAATTGATATTATTTCTTTAAATTTATCTTTAAGAGACTCGTTCGGATAGGCTATGAGGCATTTTAGTTGGGTTGCAAATGTATCTGTTTGTTTGTTGTTGGCTGCCATTTTCCTTGGATTGCAGCAAGGCTATGAGACATTCCATCTTAGTTAAATTAACAAAGGATATTTGTTTGAAGTTGTCTGAGATGTCCAGGGACTGCAGTGACCATTTACCATTAAGTGGACTGTGAGTTCGTTTACCACTTTAGTTATATTATATTGAACAAGAAATAAGAATGGTCACCTCTCCGTCAGCCGCTCCCAGCAGCGAGTTGAGGCAGAAGTCGGGCGGCGCCAGCGTGTCGGCGAGCGCCACCGCGCAGCGCGCCGCGCCGGCGCAGCGCCGCAGCACGGCCTCCCGCAGCGCTGCGCCCTGCGCGCCGGACAAATACCCGCCCTGCACACAACACTGCTGTTACAAGCCACGCTCTCTCCTTCTATCTCTCTCTCACTCTCTATTGTTAGTAGGTAGTCGCCGCAACATAATGTGTATTTATATACGGGCAATTACCCGCCCTACGCACACGAGTACCGTTACAAGTCACGCTCTCTCTCTCTTTCTATCTATCTATCTCTCTCTCTCTCTCTCTCTATTGTTAGAAGGTAGTCGCTGCAACGACGTGTAAATTATATACGGATAATTACCTGCCCTACGCACACGAGTACAGTTATAAGTCACGCTCTCTCTCTCTCTTTCTATCTCTATCTCTCTCTCTATTGTTAGCAGGTAGTCACTGCAACGACGTGTATTTATATAATTACCCGTCCTACGCACACGAGTACCGTTACAAGTCACGCTCTCTCTCTTTCTATCTCTCTCTCTCTCTCTATTGTTAGAAGGTAGTCGCTGCAACGACGTGTATTTATTTACGGGCAACTACCAGCCCTACGCAAACGAGTACCTTTACAAGTCACACTATCTCTCTCTGTCTATATATCTAACTCTCCTTAGTACTTATTAACAAGACACTATCTAAGCGCCGCAGCATGATGTGTATTTATATTGAACTACCCGCCCCACGCACACGAGTGCTGTTACCAGCCGCGTTCTAATTCTCTCGTTACTAGGTAACCACCACATCAGCACAGTGTTCATTTGTATTGTGCGATCAAGTTAATTCCGAATTTCGCTGGAATGCACTGCCCCCCCCCCCCCGCACTTACACGCGCACATTCCCGCATTCGTCCCGTCGCTTCAATATTGTATAGCCGTACACTGTAGCAAAGCGCCAATATGACGTCATAAAATCCAGGTTGGAAGTTAACTCAATTGAGTTATATGTACTTAATATATTATGCATATCTTCTACTATATAATGGTAATGTAAAATAGCCACTACTACATATCGTCCCGTGGGTGTCATAAAAGACGACAGAAGGATATTAAAACAATTGATGGACAGCAGCATCTTTCTGATGACAACTCTAAAAAAACTACAGTTGCCAACCCGCCTTGTTCAGCAGTAGACTTTTATAGGCTATAATGGATGAATTGACCACGTGCTTGGCTAAAGAACACTGTGAAGCACGCTAACACGCACTGAAAAACACTAACTAAAGCTGCTTCTTTACTGTAAAATTTACAACGAACGTTTGCCCCTGAGCTACCACGGTCATATCGCGCCAAAAAACTTTCAGAACTGAGAGGTCTGTGCTCATCAGTGGTAGGTATAGAGGCTGTAATATACAACTGTAGTTATTAATGCCTTTATTTTCATTTAACATGATATGATACATTTTAAATTAAACTAATTTGACGGATTCTATCGTGTTTAATTTAACTTTTTAATTCCCGACGTTTCGGGTGCTTTACATCACCCATGGTCACGAGGGGGGGGGGGGGGGGGGTACTTCGGTGTTTGACGTCAAGAACTTGAAGCACTGACGTTCCGGGAAGTCTGCAGTCTTTAAACATATTCAAGATCGTCCCCGCCATTACATTAAATCCTAGCGAAAGAACACCTATTCCTACCAAGGATGATTCGCGAGGCTATTGAAATTAAAAAACATACTAATTTCAATAGAGAAGATGGATGAGTGCTGCCATCTGCTTGAAATCCTATAACTAATAAAATTAAATCAAAACCCATGCATACCACTGCAAGACTTCAAGATACTATAAGCTCATTCTGCGTAGATCGGACCAAAAATTAATATTAAAAATTGAAGGTAGCCAGGCTAACTATGATATCGGGACAATGTTGTAAACGATTACTTACTATGTACAGTGTTGCCATGTGTTTCTCCAACATGAAAGCGCCATACAACGCAACCAATTCCAATAGAACTCTTCTACATTCCACGTCGTGGAAGTCTTTCGCCGTATTGTAGAAGTGATTCAGGATGAAGTTCTGAAAAGAAGTAAGTTAGTATATATCTAGTATGTACCTTAGTTATTTTCAGTCTTCAGTCTATTCAAAAACGTAATCCCCACACTAGGATTTTCTCCTGTATCGTGGAGGCAGTTTACAAACACAAATTGCACAAGGACAAACATTCAGACCCGGAACAATTATTTGTAGGTCTTACAAATACTTGTTTCGTGCGTGATTCGAACCCGCGGCCCCCAGCTATGTAAGTAGCTACCTAAGAGAAATCATACCTTTCTTAAATTTGATGTAAATATTTGCATAATAACATGTTATACGTGTTAGAGCCACGCTGCAGCTATATTATGGTTGTAGCACGAATGGGTCGGCTCGACATGAGTAGGGCCACGGTCTCAGAGTATACCAGTGTAACATAGCAGTTTAAAACTGTTATGTTTCGTATGGTGAGTGTAGAGAACCGGAGACCATTTATACTGGAGACGAGGCATTTCATCTCAGTCCTCAGGGATGACAACGCAACTGCATTTTGATTCTTAACTACGGATAAATGTACATTTCTATGGTCACAGGCATCCACTTACCATCAGTTGGACTGTGTGCTCGTTTGTCCTTTGTTCTATAAAAAAAATGTTGCAATAAAACTTTTGACCGTGTGGTGACGGCGTGAGAATATCTACTACTCCATATCGTACTGTGGATGTCGTAACAGGCAACAGAGGGAAACAAACCAGAAGATGGGCAGCAGCGTCTTCTTTTCAACAACTAAAAAATAAAAATCTGCGGTTGCCATCCCGCCTGCCAAGCTTGGCAACTATGGAAAATATCTCCCCTATATGTGGGGTAGGCTTATGTTAAGCAGTGGATCTTTGGTAGGCAATGACAGTAACAGTAAGAAAATTTATTTTATGGATGATAAATCTAGCAATGAATACAAAATATAATTATAGTGATGAATAATTAGTTACTTATTTGATGTAATGGCATGATAGTGTTACGAGCTTGGGGTTCGAGACAATTAAAAACTGCCGATTGAATTACCAAAATTGACACTTTAATTACACAACACTAATTACAATCTAAATCACACTAATAATAAAACACAGTTCGCCGTTATTTCGCTTCGAAGTATTCTCTTGTATCGCCAATTCAATACTGCCCCGGTCGTGGTCTATACCGGCCTTATATAGGGCCCCAGATAGTTTCTAGAACCTTCTACTGTAGCGACATCTAGAATGTTCGAGTACATATCGGTCCCGAAATTTCTGGAAGGATCTCGACTCTCCTAGTTCTGCTACTCGACACTAGAGGGCGCTAGTGTAACTAGTGTTGCCATGTACACGACATTAATAGTGGCGCGCAACACTTTCTTTTACTCGACACTAGAGGGCGCTAGTGTAACTAGTATTGCCATGTACAAGACATTAATAGTGGCGCGTCACAGCCCCCTCCCAAGACATGCTCGTCCCGAGCATTATTGGCCCCATAATAACGCGCCAGTCGATCCACATGGACAATCTTAGGAGTACCTCTGACACCTTTCTGTATCCGGTAGGTTACGTCATTGATCCTTGTCACAATCCGGTACGGTCCGTCCCATATAGCTTGAAGCTTAGGAGATTTCCCTTTGCTGCGAACTGGATTGTGTAACCACACTAGTGAACCTTCATCAAACCCCTTGTTGTTCATTTTGCGGTCATACCGTGTTTTCATCTTCTCAGACGTTTGCTGGCCCGTCTGTCTGACGTGCTCATAAATGTCATTCATTTTGTTCCGCAAGTCATTTGCATAATCGGTTATACTGCGTGGGGCATCAGGTGGTATTCCGGTGATCAGGTCTGCAGGCAGCCGTAATTCTCTACCAAAGTTTGCGAAAGCTTACGGCGTTACTGATGTACTTTCGTGAACAGTGCTTCGATATGACAACAAAAACGGTTGTATGTGCCTGTCCCAGTCTCGTTGCCGTTTTTCCACAACTTTTGCCAGGTACCTTTCCAATGTCTGATTAAATCGTTCTACCATTCCATCAGATTGTGGATGGTAAGAAGTTGTTCGTGTTTTATGAGTACCCATAACTCTGCAAGTTTCCTGGAATATTTGAGACTCGAAATTCCTTCCTTGATCGCTGTGAATCTCTAAGGGTACTCCAAAACGACAGAAGACTTCATGAACTAGTTTATCTGCAACTGTTGAAGCTTCTTGATTTGGAATGGCGAAGACTTCTGGCCACTTAGTGAAGTAATCCATCACAACTATGAAATACTTGTTACCACTTTCACTATCCGGAAACGGTCCCGCAACGTCAATGGCTATCCTCTCCCATGGTGCACCAACATTGTACAATTTCAATGCGCCTCTACTACGAATTTGAGGTCCCTTTACAGCCGCGCAACTTTTACATTTGCGGCACTAGTCCTCGACATCGTCACGACAGTGAACCCAGTAAAACCGTTCTCGGATCTTCAGGAGAGTTCGTTTAACTCCCAGGTGGCCTCCTGAAGAACTACTATGGTACAGTTGTAGAACATCCGGTACTTTAGCCTTAGGGACAACCATTTGCAAATGACATCTGTCTCCCCGACCATATTCCCATTTGCGGCACAGGACTCCATCCTGAATCAGCAAGCTGTCCCATTGGGCCCGATAGCTTTTCGTGGTCGAACTCATTGCTGAGACGTCGCTCCCCTTGGGCTTAGGAACACTGGCCTTCATCCATTCCAGAATCGGCTTAATGTCTGAATCTTCCTGCTGTGCATGTTGTAGGCTGTCCTTCCACTCATTGCTGAGCTGGTCTATCCTGAGCATTCTCACAGATACCACTTCCTTACCCTCTTGCCTACTAGTGCATTGCCATGAGATTTCCCGCTGCGATGTTCGATCACAAAGTCGTATTCCTGCAGTAGTTCAATCCATCTCACAACTTGTCCTTCCGGATTTTTGAACTGCAATAGCCATTTCAGTGCAGCATGGTCAGTTCGTAAGTGGAATTTCCGCCCTAGAAGATATTTGCTAAAATGCTGCAAGGACTTTACCACAGCAAGCAATTCCCGCCTTGTGACACAATAGTTCCTTTCCACCTTTGACAACGACTTGCTGAAGTACGCTATCACAATCTCTTGATCACCATTCCGTTGAGACAACACACCGCCAAGTCCTATATCACTTGCGTCTGTGTCAACTATGAATTCCTTGCCCGCATCAGGGTACCCCAAAATAGGTGTTTTGCACAGATGGTTCTTGAGCTCCTGGAATGCAATATCGCAACTTTCATCCCATCAGAAATGTCGCTTCTCCTCGGTTAGCTTGTGCAGAGGTTTGGCTATATTTGCAAAGTTCTTCACAAATCGCCGATAATAAGAGCACAAACCCAAGAATGCTCTAACCCGTGTCTTGTCTTTTGGGACCGGCCACTCCTTGACAGCAGCAATTTTCTCTGGATCCGTGCGTATACCTTCTTCCGACACTACATACCCCAAAAAACTAACTTGCCGTTTGAATAGTGAGCACTTCTTCGGACTCAACTTGAGGTTGGCACTCTGGATTTTCATGAGCACGCATTCCAGGTTTTGAAGGTGTTCCTCAAACGTACGGCCTACGATGATGATGTCATCCAAATAGACCAGACAGGCATCTCCAATTAGCCCGGTAAGTACAAGCTCCATCAACCATTCAAACGTTGCTGGAGCATTGCACAATCCAAACGGCATGACTTTAAATTGCCACAGACCCTTTCCTGTGGAGAATGCAGTTTTCTCCTTGTCCTTAGGGTCAATTTCAACCTGCCAGTAGCCACTTTTCAGATCCAGCGTACTAAACCACTTTACGCCTGTAAGCATGTCCAGCGTGTCATCAATTCTTGGCAAGGGATAGCTGTCTTTCTTTGTAACGTCGTTCAGGCGGCGGTAGTCAACACAAAACCGCATGCTGCCGTTCTTCTTCTTTACCAGCACCACAGGTGAACACCATGGACTAGATGAAGGTTCAATAACACCATCCTTCACCATTCCCTCAATCATGGTTTCCACTTCCTTTTCACGTGCTACAGGCAATCTTCTTGGCCGCTGACGAATAGGCAATTCTTGTCATGTGTTTATTTTGTGTTGAACTAAGCCAGTCTTTCCTATGTCAGCTTCGTTTGAGGAGAAAACATTGGCGTACTTGAGTAACAACTTCTTCGCTTTGACCGTTTCATTCGGGGAGAGAACGCTGCGACAGTCTTCTAAAAGTGTGGTCACTCTAGTTTGTCCATCCTTGCTGGGGGTCCCAGTCGATAGATATTGGCACTGACGCAACCAATCCACTTCCTCACTAGTACCAACCAATGTGCCTTTTTCTATAATCTGTTCCTGATCACAAAGGTTCAGCACACGTACTCATGAGATGTCGGCGGTTCTGACCAAGGTTCGAGCCACTTTCCATGGAAGGTCATTGTCTACCCTTTCCACGAGTACACAACGAAGAGTTTGCCCAGGATTCCGTGGAAGTCTAACCGGCACAATCGTTTCCGATCTCGGCGGAAGAACAATCTTCTTAAGGCTGTACACATTCCCTGGTAACGCCCCTTCCACGAAAAGTTCCTCTTGTCCACATTTCAAAACAGCTTGCTTAACGTCGATCTCACAACAATTCTTCCTCATAAAGTCTAGGCCCAGGATGCAGTCGTCCATTATATCAGCCACGATGACATTATGCAGGTAGATCATGTTGCCTAGCTTCAACTCCATCTCCTTCTCTCCACGGACGGGTATGCGCTGACCGGTGGCTGTCACCAAATTAATGCGTTCTCGGTTGTATGCGGAGTCCCCAAGGAACCGACTTATAAGTTGGGAACTGACAACCGTGCGAGAGGCTCCAGTGTCTATGGTCAGTTTACACGGCATTCCGTTGACTTCGCCCTTGATGATTAGGCTGTTCCCATCATGGGTTTGTGAGATTGAAATCCTTGGGGCTCTTTTAACATCAGCCAGCACCCGCCCCGCAGTTCTGGCTTTTACTCGTTTCCCTGCTGCTGCTGGGCGGTGCTATTATCCGCACTACCCTCTCGAGATCGATCACCTTCCCTTTCTACAGTTCGTTTAGGGCAGCTGGATCGAAGATGGCCACTTTCCTCACAGCCGTAGCACCTAGGGCTGTAGCCCTTATTGCGGTCCTGAACTGTAGCTGCTGCAACCTCCCTGACGCGGTGGGAACGATGATCCTGCCGCACGGCTTCCACCTCCAGTGCATGGGTCAAGGCGTCCTTAAGCGTCTCGTGGTGCCCGAGCCTCACAGCAGCTCTGACTTCAAAGTCGCGGATGACGTCAATGAATGTCTGCACCAGGTTCCCTACAATGAGCGCAGGTACAGACTGGTACGCTTTTCGAACCAGCTTCTCCACCTCAAGGGCCCACTGCTGCAAGTTTTCGTTACTGCGTTGCACGCGATCTTTGAGCTGCGCACGAAAGACGTGTTCCAGGTGAGCATCGCCATATCTCGCCTCCAATGCCTCAAGGAGCTGCTCGTAAGTCACTTCCTTACCGAGAGCTTCCAGAACAGTTAAGGCCTGGTCGCGTAGGCCTAGGGTGAGAGCAGTCATGGCCTGACTTTTATTCCAACCGTTCGCTTTCATGACAGCCTCGAACTGGATTTTGTAGGCCGACCAGGAAGAAGTCCCGTCGAACGGCGGCACTTTGAATCCACGTAGCGAAGGTGTTGTAGCTACCACGGGAACTGTAATTCTATCCCCAAGTTTGAGGTCGTCCAGCGTTTTCTTCACATCAGCCATCACGTTGTCAACCCGATTGTTCACTTGGTCGATTCGGGTTTCAGCTTCCGACAGGCGGTTGTCATGTTGAGCAACCCTATCCTTCACCTCCTTTATCTCTTTCCCGAAGGTAGCGTGAAGGTCCTTCCTGAGGAGCATCTGTTCTTCCATACCGCGCTGCAGCTGCTCTTCCAACCGACGGGTCTGTTCCTCTTGTCGGCGAGCCTGATCCTGCAGCATCATCATCAGAGCACCTAAGTCAGGTGCTGCAGATGCAGGAGCTGCTGACGGACCGGCCTCCGTGGTTAGGAGCTGGCCCTCCGACGTTTGCGGCGTTGCATTACCAAATCGTCTCTGGTCCGGCTCCTGTTGGCGTTGACTTCGGGTACGGATCCGTGTCGTCTTTAGGTAAAATCGGCATATTTGATCCCACTTCTGACACCAATTGTTACGAGCTTGGGGTTCGAGACAATTAAAAACTGCCGATTGAATTACCAAAATTGACACTTTAATTACACAACACTAATTACAATCTAAAATCACACTAATAATAAAACACAGTTCGCCGTTATTTCGCTTCGAAGTATTGTCTTGTATCGCCAATTCAATACTGCCCCGGTCGTGGTCTATACCGGCCTTATATAGGGCCCCAGATAGTTTCTAGAACCTTCTACTGTAGCGACATCTAGAATGTTCGAGTACATATCGGTCCCGAAATTTCTGGAAGGATCTCGACTCTCCTAGTTCTGCTACTCGACACTAGAGGGCGCTAGTGTAACTAGTGTTGCCATGTACAAGACATTAATAGTGGCGCGTAACAATAGTAATCCTTTTATTAAGGTGTACAATGAAGTGTAAATAAATAAATAAAACCATTTAATGTCGATAGTCGGGAAGGGACGCACTAGGCGTAAGTTTATCGACCAAATTAGCGATATATTGAAAATGGGCCAAATTTAGAGTAACCTTTACCGACGAGCGTGTATTTGTTGTAGATATATATATATATGGATGTGGAGGAGGCGAGAGAGGTGTGCCATCAGTGGGTGTTTATGTATTATGTATGTACCATTTAATTGTTTTTATACTTTAATATTTGCATACCGCCAAAAGGTTGAATAAAGTGACCATCTAATTTGTGATTTAATGTAGTCTGGTAATAAACAATGTCAAGTACAATTTAAAAAGTTATTTTTATTTTTCTAAGTTTAAATACGGAATGTGTTTATTGTGGTGTGTTCCATTCGAAACATAATTGACCGTTTCTACACAGTTAAAAAGGAAGTTCCCACGCTGCGCAAAATATTAGCAGAAGCAAAGAAAGATTTAAATTTTCCTGGGCAAAAAGTCACTCTCTGGAAAATTATAAAAACGAGGCTTGGATATAAGTTTACAAAATGTAAAAATATAAGACAATATCTTATTCAGAAACCGGAGATGAGCGATTTCGAAAATTTTTAATTTGAAATATTTAAAATGTAAAATAAAACTATAAAAAAATATTTTATTTTATCGAACACGTTATTATTTAACTTTATTGAAAATAAATAATACTAAAAAACATAAACATGATGACTTTTTTCGTCTACGGTACCGTCAGCTGTGACGTCGTAACGGTCGACGACGGCAAACTCGAAATGAACGCGTAGTATGTAAGAAACTTCGATTGATATTCCATTACGGAGTGGGGTATTAAAGAAAACAGAAACGCAGTGATTATTTTGCACAACAATAATATACGAGTCAGGTACACTGTCTACGGCGAGACCAACAGCTTTACAAGTTCCTGACATCGGGTTACTACTGAGAATTTCTTCATAGAAAAAAAAACCGACAAATTGTTGTTAATGTAATTGGTTGAAGAAACTTATGGTTTATATTCATAGTTTTATTAATCACCCTTACACAACATAACTTTTCTTTTATTAACTTAAAATCAGTGTTGCCAATATAAATGTATAATAACTAATGGTAAAAACTGCGGTTGCCATGCGTGGCAACTATGGCAAAATCTTATCTGTGAAGTAATCTATGAGGGAGGGAAGATATATATATATATATCATACTTATATCTACACACAACCTTCACATGTAAATTTTAATCTATGTAAGAATAAATAAAATTGAAGTGTCTGTTTGTAATGTCAAAATAACATCATTTTACTAAATGTATGTGTCCAACATTGGATTCGAACCCCGGGCCTCGTGATCGGCAGTCGCACTTAAGACCACTAGACCAACGATTTAAGGATATATAATATAGTACAAATTTGGAAGCGTAAGTATATACGACAGAAATTGACTCACCTCTCCATAGACAACGGATAACGTGACTGCGTGGTAGGATTGCGACTCGTTTTTGGCCTGGAAATTATCTCTGCCCTCATTCTTTAACTTGTTAACTTTTTCGTAAGTTGTCTTCAGTGTGTATGCAGTGAGCCATTTATAAATATGAATTATATCTGTGAAAGAAGGGAACAAGTGACAAACAAAGCGACTTGACACATACATGAGCACACAAGTCACCTATCTAGTTTAAGTGATGTTTTTTTACTGGTGACACCAGTGAAATACATTTTGAAATATGTTAACAGTGGAAGCTCAATAACTCGAATTTCAAGTTAAATGCTAACAACTTCGAGTAAATGTGTATTCGACTTAATTTAGAAAATTTAATGAATTTAATCATTCATTGCACGTGTACAAAGTACACACAATAAAATAGAAGCAACAAACATTCCTTTTGGGTTTTATCGTTACGAGTTCTGGGAGTTTCAAGTAAGATGTCATTATATTTTCTTTAGAATAGAATAGAATAGAATAGAATGATTTTTATTCAATATGGATTATTACATAATACTTATTGAAAGTCATTATTTTATTTACCACTGGTTCGGAAAATACCTCTGTCCTGGGAAGAACCAGCAAGAAACCCAGCGGGACTTTTTTTTTAAACATAATTTCACTTAACAATAATTTTGTTTATACAATTTTAAATGAATTTTCATAGAACCAGCATGGTGGCGATCACCTTATTCCCAGGGGTTATTTTCATTCATGTATTCCTTGATATTATAATAACCCTTTTTGTACAGTTTTTCTTTAATAAAACTTTTAAACTTGTTTATTGACAAACTTTGAACATGTTCTGGGATTCTGTTGTAAAAGCGTATACATTGCCCCATAAATGAATTACTAATTCTGTGGAGTCTTGTAAGTGGCATTACAAGCTTATGTTTGTTCCTAGTGTTTAAGGTATGAACATCCTTATTCTTATTAAAGCTATTTATGTTTTTATGTACATAGATTACATTTTCATAAATATATTGCGATGCCAAAGTTAATATGTTTATTTCTTTAAATTTTTCTCTAAGGGACTCTTTACAATTTAGATTATAAATCGCCCGTACGGCTCTCTTTTGCAAAACAAATATAGCTTCAATATCAGTCGCATTACCCCATAGCAAAATTCCATAAGACATTACGCTATGAAAGTAACTAAAATACACTAACCTAGCTGTCTCAACATCTGTGAGACTTCTAATCTTTCTTACAGCATATGCTGCAGAACTAAGTCTGCTTGCTAATTTAGATATATGGGGGCCCCATTGAAGTTTCGCGTCAATAGTAATACCGAGAAAAACAGTGGTATCCACAAGACTCAACTCCTCCCCATTTAAGATGGGGATCTTAACTTCCACTTACGACCTCTGCGTTTGGAAATTCAATTTAAAGATTATACTATATTATACTTTATTATATTATGTATGTATGTTTGTACGTGGTAGAGCCACGCTGCAGCTATATTATGGTTGTAGCATGAATGGGTCGGCTCGACCGGGGTAGGATCACGCTCTCACAGAATACTAATGTAAAATAGCTGCTGTGTTTCGTATGGTGAGTGTAGAGAACCGGCGACCCTTTTTAATGGAAACGGGGCATTCCATCTTAGTCCCCAGGGGTGACAACGCATCTGAATTTTGATTTCTATATGAGGATAAATGTACCATGCACTTACCATCAGGTGGACTGTGTGCTTGTTAAGACGATAGGAGCTTTGATAGGATAAAAATTCTCACTCGAAGGGTCCATCATATCTTCAATGGTGTTCCACCGGCATTTCTCAGTCAACAAGGCGTCCACTCCGTCCAAGAACTTCAGGGATCCGAAGGGTGTGTCCTCTGGCGTGAGGTTGTTCCTCCTGGGCCACACGTTGAGCAACCAGTTGCTGCTCTGCTGCAGCAACAGACTGTTCTCACCCTCGTACGTGCAGTTTGCGTCATTGTCGTTGCGAAGATCACCTATGGCTGACGCTGCAAATAAAATTAAATAATCAATATTTTTCAGCCGTCTCCCGCCAATGTTAAAATATCCACCATCCCATATTGTCCCATGGGTGTCGTAATAAGCGACAGAGGGAAACAAATAAGAGAATGGCCAGCAACGTCTTTCTAATAATAACTAATAATAAAAACTGCGGTTGCCAACCCACCTGCCATACGTGGCAACTATGGCAAAATCTTCTCTGTGAAATAATCTATGAGCGAGGATATTGTACCAAGTACATAATATTTGGTATCAGTGAAGTGGAAATATTCCCAAGAGAAGTTCCATTAAGTAATATTTTAAGTATTATTTCTACACATAACCTTAAAAACCATAAAGGAGTCAATCGTTTTTGGGCCCACTAGAAATTTTCGCGACATTCAATGGTATATACAAAAAAAGATACCAATTTATTATTGTAAATAGCATAAAGATCGTATGAAAATCTAAACGGAATCAAGAAATCAGAAAAAAAGTATTGTTTTGATATTTGTGTTCAGGTCATTGGTTCTGCTAATGTAATATTAAATAAATTGTAGTAGAGATGTGCTTATTCGGAAGAAACTCGATGCGAGTTAACTTGAGTCGAATAGTACTCGAATTACGTAACTCGAATTGGCGGAATGAAGCTGTGTCAGTTTGTTACAAATTACTTTTATATTTTGTTCTCCATCCAACATAATTATTATTACTAAACTTAATACGTAGTTAAATATTTTGGGTTTGCGTATAGACAACCTTTATAAAACAAATATCACTCTAACTTTATGACAATTATACTTAATCAGTTTATTGATATTACATAATATATCAATAAATTGTTCGAATTAATAAGTCGAGTTAATCACTAAATTCTAGACAGACACTGTATTGACCGTAAGATGAAGATGCGGTTCAAGTAGAATTTTGTGACTCGAGTAACGCGAGTTAATAATAATTTATCATGTCACTCTAGTCGTACTTGGGGTTTTGAGCTATTCGAACTATTTATAGTCCCTGTATCGATTGAACTTTATCACTCGAGTTGAGAGTAGTGATTAAAGCATTTTTAAATAGGTATCTTTATTAAATAAGTAATATGCGGCAATATCGACGGCTCCGTGGCGCAGTGGCTTAGCAATGAGTTGTTGCGCTGGGGGCCGCGGGTTCGAATCCCGCACGGAACAAGTATTTGTATGGCCTACAAATAATTGTTTCGAGTCTGGATGTTTGTCCTTGTGCAATTTATGTTTGTAAACTGCCTCCACGACACAGGAGAAACTCCTAGTGTGAGGGGTAACGTTTTTTTTAAAAAGAGGAAAAAATCATATGTGAAATAAAATAAAAATTATTATTATTTATTTATTTGTAGTATTTCCATGTCTTTTATTTACTACAGACATGTGTAGTATTTTAAAATCTATAAACTGCTTTTCGCATATCTTACAAATCGCTTCCATTTTTAAAAATAATGCCACACTGACAATTTTTTTTTTGTTATTGCATTGTTATCATTCATACTTTAAATAAACAAGTATATTTAAATCACCTTTCATGTCATGCACTACTTATACGAAGTAACAAAAAATAAACAACAATGATAGCACAATCATGATGTAATAAATCAAACTAAGTTCATATTCGACTACATGCCAGGTGCAAGTTTGAATTTGGATGTAACCAGTGACGTCACCCGCGGCGGCTTATACTACAAGTGAATCTACACGGTGCGGTGCGCCGAGTTGACTCGGTAACTCTAGTACAAGCGGACTCGAGTAAAATTTATTTCCACTCGAGTACCGAGTTACACGAATTCACTCGATTGAATCGAATGAAAACAGAGTTCGAGTTGCATCACTACTGAAAGAATAAAGTTTGTGGTTATATATTTTAAAATAATTTTTGGTAGCAAAATTAGTTAATAGCAAAAAAGTTTATACTTGTTTGTTTACAAGACAATAAAATAAATATAGTCTCATCGATGCACAAGTGTTTAATATAATATGGATTTTAGACTTTATTTCCTTTTTATTTTTTTGTCGTCGCATGGTAAAATTATCAATGACATTCGAAATTGGAAAATGAAAATTGATAAGTTTAGTTAATTAATACAAGAGTATGTATATAATAATTTTACACCTAGAATTTTGAAAAATCTATAAGATATATTATTTATAATGAATTACCTAAAACAAATGACAAACACAGGTCTTAGAACCTTATTAGTGAGTTAAAAGTGAGTATTCAAGTTTTATGTTATTAGTAAAATCTAAATTAAGTAATAGATAGAGTAAATACACAAATGAAGTTTTTGTGTATGTTAAAGAAAATTAGCACCAATGGGTCGAGGAATTTAAGAAAGCTGCTATATTTGATGTAGCTTCATCAGCTTAGAAGAGTGATTCATTTAACTGCATTTAGATATAAATACCTTAATATGTATTCAGCAAGTTGCTCCATAAACTTGACAATACCAAATGGCATCAAAGATGGATCCTGAATTTATGCCAGTCATAGTAGATAGATAGTACATATATTTATGTGTCAAAAAGTAGTTTTTACTTGTACTAGAAGCAAATATACAGTTTGCATAAGTAACTTAGTTAAGCCATTTTTACTTGTGTAATGGTTATATCCTTGTTGATCAGATACTTCATTATACTAAGACTGCTTTGTTGTTAACTCTGCAGAAAGGAATATTATTTTGTGATTTACTATCAGTTAATTAATATAAAAATAATATCCTTTTTCCGTACATGAAACCAGTGAAAATAAGAAATCGGACAACTTTTACTTAATCAAATATTGTTGATGTAAATCCATAATCAATACTTTAGTATTTGGTCATCTGGAGCTGATTAATGTTGTATATTTTATAATAATTTCTTGATTATTTAACATACAGGCAGAGGCTACAAAACACTGTCAGAAATATGGAAATATAGTTTATTTACATTGAAGTACCTATAGTATATATATAGACTTATCTTATTATTGAAATTGAATGAAATTGAAATCTCTTATTATTGAAAATGTCCTGATTACTAACAATATCATATGTGGATGTGTTTTTTTTTGCCTTCTTCAATACAAGTATAAACATAGACCCCACACACTATATAGATTGCAATAAATGTAGAAAAACTGATATATTGATAATAATTATTATTTAGTATAGTACAGTCTTTACAATATTCATTAACTTTTTTCAGGTGCTTAGAATAAATGTGTATGTCTTGTAAGCTGAAATCTTGCAGAGCTGCTCGTAAGCAGAGACAAAAAAGTATATGGATATTGAAAACAACAGTCTTGTATCACATAAAATATCCTTATGATTCTCAACGATATCATAAATGAACATGTTATTATCAAGTTATTTTGAAAAAATCTTTTGGAATGATAATGACTAACAATAATAAATACAATATTATAGATGTGTTTTGTTATCCTTACACAACCAGATTGAAACGTCTCACTTCATATTTATCAAGATAAATAAACATGATATTACCTTGTCATTTTGCCTTTAATGGTGTTTGGGGTATAATAACTAATCAGTTAATATATTTTAAAGCAAAGTTTACAAACTGCACCTTTACTAACCAACCAATATATATTAAAACAAAGTCTTGACAGCGCGCCTGTCTGTCTGTCTGTTCCACTATTAATAGACTACTTTTGAAATGATTACAGTAATAAATGCAGTGGTATTTTACTTTGTGTTTTTATCCATAAACAACCAGACTAAAACATCTTTCTTACTATATAGCATGTAAAGGTAATATTATAAATGGACATATTATCTATTATTCATTTTGGCTTTAATAATATTTATTTAATTACTGTAATGGTGTTTGTGATGTATATTCACTAATCAATCCATACATGTAAAAAATAGTCTCCACACCACGTTTGTTTTACGGTGCACTATTTTTGCCGGAACTAAAAAGGATTTTCCATCAGTCTAAAAGTACCTATAAATGCTGAATGTACCTGCAATTTTGTTTTATGCTATTAATTATTTAGCTGTTCCATTCTATTCTATATACACTATTCTAACTCATGCTACTAATAGAAAATAGCTTTTAGTTTAGGCTCAGAAGGACTAGAATCTGGCTTTACGGCTCTGGAGCCGTAAAGCCAGATTAAAAATAAACAGCGTTTGGTTTCTTTTTAGGTTATTGTGATATTCATATTTTAATTTTTTATTTCTCAGTATTCCCGTTAGATGTGATAAAACTAATTTTAACTTTGTAATCTATAGATTATAAGGAATAAATCGACATACATTTCATTAAGTGTCCCTGAAATTTGTAGTGGGCCCATTCTCCATACAAAAAGAAATTAGGTATCTCCTTTTGTTTATAAAATATCTTAAATAAATAAAATTGAAGAGTCCCTTTGTAATGTCAAAATTACTACTTTACTTTACTTTACTAAATGTATATGAAGTATTTACCTACGGAACTTTTAACACAAAAACAATTTTTGTGTCTGTCTATCTGTCTGTTTGTTCCAGCTAATCACCGAAACGGCTGGACCGATTTCGACGGGACTTTCACTGGCAGGTAGCTGATGTTATAAGGAGTAACTTAGGGTACTATTATTTTAGAAAAAGAAATTAGGGTTCCGCGCAAAAAAAAATTAAGCCCATGAAATCCAATCGTAATAAATTCCACGCGGGTGAAGTTGCGGGGAACAGCTAGGTAAATTTGTTTGAGTTATTAATAATAGATAATAATATAGTAATGGTCTTCTTCATCATCAACTCGTAAAAGTCCACAGCTGGACATGGGACTCAACCGTTTCAGAGAGGATCTGTTTCAAATCTCAATCATCACGCTTGGCAGGTTGGTTACCAAATACATACATTTTACTAATAAATAAACTATACATAAAAATAAAAAAAAATAAAAATAAACTTTATTTCAGTAACATAATTCGTACAGTTTTAACCGTGTCCGGAATCTCCTTTTAAGTAAAAAAGATACCTGTGTTAGGAGATTCT